GTGATTACAACATATTCTCATCTATGAAGTTTCCAAAGGTTCATACAATTTCATATAAAACAACTTTTTCTGTAATGTGTATGCAGGTTTGTTTGTATGTATGTATGTATGTATGTATATATATATATATATATATATATATCTTATTGTGTGCAAACATCACTTTGTAACTTCCTGAAAAGTACCACAAAATATTTGTAGATTCAATGAAGATCACCAAAACAACATATAGTTAGACACACCTGTTGCCAGAAAATTCCATGATTAGAATTAAGTTGCAAAGATTATATGTACTTCAATTTTAATGATTTATTTTTATGCTTATTACAAGATGTAATAAGTTTTGATGCTGATAACTAATTTAGTATCATTGGAATGGTATCAATACTTCTCTTTATCTTTAGTAGATTGTACTAAGTTTAAATCTGAATACAATCCTATTCGACTTAGTACCTTTTTTTAGACTTAGTTGTAAAAAAAAATCCACAATATTTTGGAAATTAACACAATTTTAAACTAAATGAACATGCCCAGAATTTAATGACATTCCTAAATCAAGTACAAACCTTGAGACTAGTTTATTTAGTCAATGTAATTTTATTCATATTATTTTGATAGATTTTTATTATTGATTTGTTATATATAAAAAAAACAGAGATACATGGACTCAAGCATTCATTTCAGAAATAATGTATATTTTACTATAAATTCATAACTTTATTTATTTCATATTGGCATGTGTGAGAATACATAACATATATACATCAAATTCAACTTGTATCCTTTGAACTTCTCAGAAGACAGGGATTCAAAGCAAGTACACATGTGAACACACATGCATTTTACTATTTCATGATTATGTGATGACTATGCTCTTTGACAACTGGGTTTTAAAATTATCAAATAATATCCTTAACACTACTTCCCAGAGAAAGGAAGTTGATATTAAGACACATGTGCCTACTTTGAACATGCATTTTACCACTAAATTTGGACAAATGAACACACAGATAATGCATGTTGGAAAGAAGAAGGAAAAAACTCTATCCATCTGTCAGAAGCTTCAGGAAGGAGATAGAGATCATGTATGTCTATCCATTGTCACATGCAACAATATAAACAACAACAACAACAACAACAACCAACTGTAAACCAATCCACAAGAAAGCCCACCACTGCATGAACCATGCCATTTAGACAGCTACTAATTCTAATGAATTATTTTTTCTTGATCTTCTAAGACACCAAGTTCACATGAAGTCCTCATGTGTGAACACTTGGGTTATCAATATAAACACACACACACACTTATTATATATATGTCTATATATATATATATATATATATATAATATTAACATAAAAGGCTCTGCTTCCTACATTCCCTTTTTTGCTATTTTGGGGGTGGCGACAGGAATAAGGTCTAGAACATACATTGGAAACATTCCACTCCTTGTGGTTGTGTTTGTCGTCTGTTGAGAAGACTGCCCGCTGCCCGCTATCCTTTTGCCCCCCCAATCCAGATATTAAGGGTGAGAACGGGTGCCATGCAACCCTCTGCTGACGTGCCCTAGAGACATTGAATGGGAACGGTCCAAAGCGGTGGGGTCACCTTATCAGGAGAAGGGGGTGTGGGGCCCAGCTGACCTGGCTCCATAATGAACTCTTCTGTAGATCGCAGCCATGTCAGCATCACAAGGGGGTGGGGTGGCCCTATTTCGTGAGGTGGCTGGCTCATTGATGGATGATGCCATCTTTGCTTCAAAGAAGGCTAGACTCCAGACACTCCTCCTCTGTTGTCACTATTGAGCTAGCCCTTCTTTAGCTGTCATAAATGGGCAGCCACCTCAGTTTTGGGCCCTCGATTTTAATGAATGACACACTCCCTCCTCGTCCTCCTCATTATTGCTCCCCAATCCTCCTTCTCTCTTGCTGCTGTTTCTGCTACAGTGCCCAAAGTCTTCAACATCTATAATTTTTTTAAAGCAATTCCGCACCCCAGTCTGTTTGCTCGTTCGTGCGTTCGTTTAATCGTTCTTTCGTTCGTTCGTGCTCAATGAAATGGTGATTTTAGCTTTGCACACATAAACATTGTGTAGCATAAGTAATTCTCATTTAGGGTTGGATTGATGTATCCTCCTCTCAGTTACTCACTGTTTAGCCAATGTTTTTTTATTTTTTTATTTTTATTCTTGCATATTGAAAAGGAGGAAAGTGAACAAAATGAGAAGGAGCCAGGGGGTTCATTGAAACATTCCACTTGGAACATCCTTTAGCAGTCCAGTATAAGTTGTTTTAGTAAGCAGGTTTCAGCGCTCTCACTCAGCATATCCCCCCCCCCCCGGGCACCCTGCTCCTGCCCAAGCCTATGTTCTTTTGGACTTCAGTGGATGGACGAGAAAAGTTTGCCTTACTAAGGCCCTCGGGGGTCGGCACAATGTTCCTTCTGCCGTGCCACAACAGTTGTAAGGAGGTAGGGTAGGGCAGGGGAAAAAAAAATTATTAGTTTATTTTTGTCATTATTCGATTTTCCACTTATCATTTTCCATTTTCCGTTTCCTTCCTTCCTATTATCATTACTATTATTATTTTTTGACACAATTTTGTCCCATTCTTCGTTGCTTTCTTGGGTCCCGCTCGGGAGTTTGAATCTGGACACTCTTTGATTCTGGTGTGGGGAGGTCTGTGCCCCCCATTGATGCCAGCTCCCAAGGAAGCCCAATTTTCCACCCCCCAACTTTGTCAGAGCATTTGGGAATTCTCATTTTTCTCACTGGGGAACATCCATGACAGCAGCAACATCATCCCCACCCCCCTCTATCATGCTAAGAAAAATGCTCTCATAAGCCTCTGAGAATGAGTCCCTCAGAGGATGCAACATTTGAACTATTAAACATTAGGTCCATTTTATGTTTGGATTTCCAACCATGCACACACACATATATCCATCTTCAATATTTTAAGGGGAATCACTTGTCACAGTGCTTACTCTACAGCTAAATGATTAGTTGCAATTCTTATCAACATTAGAGAGAGGGAAGCATGTAGGAACCATCCAAAAATGCATAGAAAATGGCTCTGTCCCATGTTTTAATTGTGGCAATAAGCTTGAATTCTTAATGTTATTGAAAATATGGTTAATGAGATAACATGTGTTTGTGAGTTGAAAAAGGGCCACATTTGCAAATATTGTAGACAAGTAGCTATCATAATAATATTTAGCATATTTTATGTTTACAAATATCCAGGACTTTGTTCACAATAATGCCACAATGAAACTCCTTGGAAACAATCATAGCCTAAGTGAACCTCAAGTGAGAAAATGGCTGTAAAAATATGTAATAGATAAAGCGGAATATCCACCAAGTGCATTAAAAAAAATGATATGGTACTTATATAGTGTTTTTTTTTGTTGTTGTTATTAGTATACATAGTTAACATTATTATTCTTATTGTTCATCACAAGCCTTATTATCATGAATACCACATTGTACAAACAACTTGATACCTAAGAATTTGAATCCAAATCCTCAAAAACTGTTATTAAAAATCCCTATTCATCTCTAAGTACAGGACACTTAAGTTCCTTTGTGGCTTTTGTTCCAAACAGGCCATTTATTGCTCCACCTTGAGGTGTCTGGAAGAGTGGGCTCCCAAAAAGTGCACAGAGGAGAACAAATCTTGGCTATTATTCAAAAAAATAAAAATAAAAAGTAAAAAATCTATTCTTGTCACAAACTGGGAGAAAGCTTTCAAAGCGTAAACAACTTGAAAGAACAGACATTAGTTTTTCATTGAACATAAACTGAGCAATTGTGTAATTATTTATTTTTTTGAAATTTCATTGCTTATCCCAATTTACTCCAGGTTGGTGAGAACAGCCATGACCACAACCAGCCAAATTGCATGAAGCCAAGGGGACCTTAGTCAGTACCTGGAAAAAGGCCAGTTGAAATCAGAAGCATTCACACAATTGGGTTGAGTGGGGATCAATAGCAGTCACCTCAGCCCAGCTGCATTGACCACCCCTATCTATGCCCAGACGATACCACACACTGTCTCATCCTCTGACTATTTTACTTTATCTTTTTTAACTTCCGACGAACCCACACTTGATGAGGATGGAATTTGACTGCCATAAGGGTCCAAGGTGTTATCATGGTAGTGTTCTCAATTGAGCTAGAGGTTGGTGGCACTTGCTTGGGTTAGGGTTCCACTTCCATTCTAGAAGCCAAGTCAGGCTAGAGAGAGAAGGCAATTATCAAGATCATCCTCCAATGAATGCATGGAGAACAGATGAGTATTAAGGATAGTTAATAATGTACTAACATTCTTTAGTTGTGATGACATTTTCCGTGGATGAAGTTTGAAGTATATTCAGATACATATATAAACCTCTGAACACGAAAAGTGTGGATGTTAGCTCGACATATATATTTTTCACGTGTTTCGACAATGCATTGATTTTCTACATGTTCAAATTGGAAATACATATGGGTTGCCCTGAGTGACGACGAATGGTGCAGTTTTTCATTTGGTGTCGGTGTTGCCTGGTTGGGTCTGAGTTTTGTGGATTCCAACTGGAGTGCTCTGGAGCGGTGATTGAGAGCGAACCTCGGCGAGGAAAAAGAAGAACCTCGAGAGGTTGTTTCATGGAACAAGGCAGTGGTGATGCCCTACTTAAAAATATCACATCTATTCATGCAATTTGTTTGTAGCGATGGAACTAGGAAGGCGACATGCGAGCATGATTGCTCGCAGAGAGCTAGACACTATTTTCGCCGAAGTGACAAGACGATGCAACACGCAGTCAGGTGAAAAAGGAAGTTTTCTGCGGAGGGTGCAACTGGGGCAGTGGCTGCCAGAATTATAGGGCGGGATAAGTAGGCGGCGTAGGCGATCACATGGACTACGACACTACGGTTGCCTACAGTCCTCCGCCTCCCATGTTTCCCGAGCGCCATAATTAGCAACTTCCCACGGGCACTCGCGAGTCTCCCCTCCAAAACCCCAGACATATAAGTGACATCTACTTCTTGGCATATTAGGGGATTTCTATTTTGAAACATCTAAGTATGCTCATCTCCTATCAGTTAACTTGCCTAGCGATCGACCCTCACCAGAGCCCATAAAAAGGCCCTGCTTGCTAGAATGGGATAATCTGCCGTCTGCACAACAACTGAGACGAAGTAGTACATCATTTCGAGAGGGGCCCGACGACGAAGAAGAAGCAGAAGAAACGAACGTCTTTGGGGTTACCCACTAGTTTGGCTTGAAGTGGTCCTGCTCAGTTGGTGGACTAGGGGTATTTGGTACAGATAGCGCCATATCCAAGCTTGACATTCCTATCAAGCTTCTGAGTGAGTGCGTGACGGGGGAAGATCGTAGCATTGAAGTGTCGGCTTGATCTAGCTAGAACCAGGTGTTCTGGGTAGCTAATTCTCTGCCGATTTTCTTCTTTGGTTTACAAGGTGAGGATATTTGGGTCGTATGATCTGGTTCACGTTTGTTGTGCATGTAGCTGGGTTTTGAGATCGTTGGGGAGGGTCAATTTTAAGAGAGGTTAGGAGGAACGGCTGGAGTGGTTGTGTTGAGTGTACAGTATCCTGTTTCTCCTTAGAGGTCTTCCACACCGGTTTATGTTCCCGCAGATTGCAGGATTATTGCATTCTGTATCTTCAAATATGTTTATTATATATATACACACACACACACACACATATATATATATATATATATATATATATATCCACATATATAATAAAGCTTGAGCCGGAAGTTGTGATGTTTTTTTTGTCTTTCAGGATGCGTTTTAGGCGAGATCCGTCTCAATTGTATTAGCTGTTGAATCCGTTGTCACGAGTGAGCGTTTTGGAGTCAAGTCGAGGTAATATCAGTAGTATGCGAGGTGTACCGGAATAGAGGTCTCATTTCGGTGGGAATTCTGTTACTTTTGCAACAGGTACCTCTACTTGCGTTGGGCACTGGTTGAACTTTATAGCTTCTTTGGAAGACGTCGAGTTAGTCGTGCTTCAAGCCTTTCATTGCAAATGAGTCTGACCTTCAGAGCCGATGACTGCAACGAACTGCCCAGTATGGAGAATTGGTAAGCACTAGTTCTTGAACATTAGGTGCGGACAGGCAGATTTGCAGACACATAGAAAGACAGATGTACAAGCACAACAGTCGGCAGGCCGGCTTGAAAGCCGCAAATTCATGAGTGCTCTAGAATTGATTTCGCGACTAAATCGAGCTGTAAAAGCAAGATCAAAGAATTTCTCGGAATAGCGGTTTTAAAGTAGAGGCTGGATGGCCACGAGGCTGTGTTGATGTCCGCGACATCGTTTGTTACAAGTGCTAGTGCTAGTTCAACGGTTGTCAGTTCGTGCCATGAAGGTTGAATCGATGCAGGGGAGTTAGAAACAACTGAAATGTGGAGAAAGTGTTAACTGGTTACGATGTTATATGATCTTCGCAGGTTGAATGCGGGGGCAGACTGGAACGAGCATCATGGAATAGTGGATGTAGATGCCACGGCAACCGCGCCCTTGTTTTACCACACTGCTGAGGCTTCGACTACCAGCGGCGAGGATTCTTTGTTCGACGCTCTGAAGAAGGGACAGGAGGCGATCTCGACGCATCCGACTTTCCTGAAACTGGACACGCTGGAGTTGTGCAAGCAGAATCCGGATGCGGTGCTGGTAAGGACTGGGAGCTCCAGCATGGTAGACTCGTCGTCAAACGAGGTAGATGTCTCCGATCATGCGAATTCGCTCCCCTCCACAGGGATGTTGGTGTCGAACCTGTTGGATCGGACCGGTAGCTTAGACGAGTCGGGTTTGTACATGGAAGCAGACAGTCCTCGGGGTCCACTATCGCCAGCCGCGTTGCAACTCGGGAAGTCTCCTAAGGGGGTGGCCATCAAACGCTCCTTTGAGGACGCATCTGAAGCATCGTGGATGCCAGCTGCTGAGGCCACACATATTCGGGCAAGAAAATCTGCCAAGCAGCAGCTGCCCAAAAATGTGGCGCTCAGCCAGGAAGATCTTCAGGCTTCTGCCGCGGCGGTTCCCTACCCGCCGTTCGTCGCCATGGCGAGCTCCGGTGAGATGGCTCCTCTCGCAATTCGGAGTGGTGTCGCACCGGCCTTCGTGCCCGCAAGTGCCGCCAATGTCCCCCCCCTTCTGTTCCCCACGCCGCTGACGCTACCCAATGTTCCCAGCATGGAAGAAATCGCTCAGTCGCGACCGAAGCGGCGCAACGTGCGAATCTCCAAGGACCCCCAGAGCGTAGCGGCCAGGCACCGGCGCGAGCGTATAAGTGACCGTGTCCGCGTTCTGCAACACTTCGTTCCCGGGGGCACCAAGATGGATACCGCCTCCATGCTTGACGAAGCCATCCATTATGTCAAATTCCTGCAGCAACAACTTCAGGTCCGATCTCAGATTCAGTGCAAATCTCGAATTTGTAGTATGCTTTAGCCATGCCGTATCTTTGATGGGGAAGATTTGTCACCTTGGAGATAAAGAATTGCGTTTGTGGCACTGTTCCGAGAACTAAGTCGAATTTCGTGTTCAACAGACGTTGGAGCAGATTGGAAACATGAGCGATCCGAGGTTCATGGCGCAGCCGGGTGGTCCGATGATGATGCCGCAAATGGGAGCCATGAATGCTGTGAGCCCGCTCGACTTAAACTGCGCAGTGTACCAATCGTATCCTGGCACTTCCGTTGTGCATCCCGCTTCACAGCCACCTTCACAATGGCCAAACACGAGGCCGACTAGCCCCTTCTGCAGCCAGGGCTTCCAGGACTCTGCTCAGGAGCAGTTTTGCCATTAAGAGCTCACTCACCGCATTCTTTCGTCTCGTTAGATTAGGCTTCTAGATGTTACGACGAAATGCCCCACACATTCGCTTGCTTGCAGTCGGCGAATGCAGCAACTCGGATATGGAATCACCGACCAATGGATACTTTCAAATCAATTGGAGGCTGTTTTGAGGGAGAAGTGTGGCGTGGTCCGCTTGTGCTCAGAGGCGACCATCCACGTCTGACTGCTGAGATCGTACGCTCTGCCATTTAGAATGGTTACAAGTGCGCCATCGATGGCTTGATTGATTTATTCTTCTCGAACTTGAGCACTTGAGAAGTATCACTTGTCACCTGCCTGAGCGGAGATGTTCGATCAAGTCACGGAGAGTAGCGACGCTGCGGTAATGAATACCTGCCTCTCCGGAGCTTGGGCCTCAGCAGCAATTTTGTGAGTTGTCTGAAAATTTTGCTTATAATTCTTCTTCTTGTACAGTCGATCGATAGGTAGAAAATCATCTAAGCCTGATGGGAAATACCTCTTGTTACAATCAGACTAGAGGTAGTCCATTTTTAGTTCGCCTCGTTCCGCCGTCTCTCTTGCAGTGTGTGCAGCATGCGTGTGCCGCGTGAAATCCTAGTGAGGATCGCCGAGATGTCCTAGTTTCTAGTTCATATTTGTTGATTGTTAGGTTTGCTTCTGCCGATTGTAGTTTCGGGAGCTGTGATGCACAGTGGTCCAATCGTGTCAGCTAATCCTTTGTACGTAAATGTACATTTTCTGTTCACTTACGAGGATGTGGTGGATTGACCAGCCCCATCGTTCCCGCATTGTAAAGATACTACGATTTGTGCTCATGGTGCTTCCTAATCGCCCCTGGCCTCTTCATGTTGAACGATGTTATTCTTGCTTCTCTTTGTCGGTTTGCTTGTGGCTGCGGTGGCTGACGACGAGAGTGATGTGCAGTGGTGTTAATGTTCCATTAAGACATGCAGTTTACAACAAAGCCAGTAAGCACAGGCCGCGAGAAACTGGAAAACACAGTCGTGTTCATGACTTCAATATTGAAGAACAAGTCTACCCTGGTTGATCGTCTATTGCCGCAGATGTTTTAAAGAACAAACAAGGAATTCTACATTACACATTTGTGGCTGCAGTACTACGGGTTAAAGGACGGCTGACTTGATGTTGGACATTAGATTTGATCCCAATCCCAACTCATGAGGAATGGGTGCACTTGCGCTGATCGTGACGCGTTTCTTGTTGAGTTGTGAGGAGTCGTGTGTGATTCGTTCTTATGTTGGGTTTCGGCCTCCACTTGGTGAACGGTGTCTCCTGTCTTTTTTTGAGCAATTTTGAAAGCAAAGTTGGATCTTAGGTTGTTTCTTAATGGCCCCCACTGCAACGACAGGTCGTTAATGTTTGACATGTAGAAACAAGAGAAAACTGGGTCTTGATTATATTCTACTCCACCGCGATGTGATCGGCGACTCGAGGAGCAGCTCATTTTGGGATATATGCAAATCGCAAAATTCTAGAATTAGATCGGCGTCTTGATCAGCTTGTATGTGATCATATAACAAGTTAATCAATGGAACGGTACAGACTGATCATTGATGCTTTCGATTAGCCAGACTTTGTTCTACAATCTAATCCTGGATTATTTCTCTAGGACCACAACTGTAGTGGGTTTTTTTTAAAAAAATTATTTTCCGTAAATTACTACCGATTAGATGTTCTCTGAACATGTCAACCTACTGCAGCCAAAACAGTTGTAAATCGTTCAAGAGGATTGAATCCACGTAAGCGAAGGAATGTGATCAATTGTTCATACTCAGCAGCCCACGCCTTAGGGATTAACAAAACTATGGTTCAGTAGCCCTATTCCCCTCAACGATTTTCGAAGCTGGCTGATCACAATGATGCATCAACTGAAAGTGAACACGACAGGAGGATCTGGTCGGATGGGCTGATCCGTTCAGCCTCTTGAAATTGCTGAGGAACAATTTCAAGCCTTGCCTGATCAGATGCTCAGATAAGCTTTACATCGTAATTGCCACCATATCTTTGCACCTCTGCTGCGTAATAGCAGAAGTGAGCAAAGGAAATCCAGTTAACCAGTATCTTTGGACTTCTTTTCAAAACAGACGTACTGCAAAGTCATCTAAATCGGACAACTGGACTGCTAGGAGAGTCCAACATGAAGACTGACAATAAGCTGTGGACCGTTCTGTTGTTACTCCGTCGCATCACCCCGCACAATCAGATTATTCATAAACCAGGTTTAGCTGGAAAAAAAAGGAGCCACCACCATTCCTTGGCATTCTCTAATTGGTAGTTAAACCACAGCTTCATACCTCAATCATACGCATTAAAACTATTGCATGGAGTTCAAATTGAATCGAGTATGTATGTGTATGTATGTATATATATATATATATATATATATGAAAAGAGTTCCAGGGCGATTTCCCAATTAGTTCCTACCTCCACATAATGTAACTACAGAGCGATACACCAAACTCAACATGGTATCTATGTCGGTATTTGAAGAAACAGGCGTAAAGAAGTAGTTCAACAGTCTTGAGAGAAGGTATTAAATTCCTAGAGGTCAAAAATTTCTACACAAGCTCAAATTCTATTCCCTTCATCGAATATTCACATTGATGAAGTTAGAGAAAAAGAGAAAAATTATAAAGGGGGTTCATGAGTAGTGTAGGCTGAGACATCAAGCAATCAGGACTTAATGCTCGAAATTTCTAAATCCTTGAGACCTTGGAGCTGGGACTAGGTTGGGCAGGGCTTGGTAAGGCAATCAGATTTGGTTGGTCCACGAAGTCTCCTCTATCCACCCAACAAATATACGACTATCTTACACCACATGAAAAATAATAAAAATAATAATAATACTAATAATAAACCAAGAAGAAATATTTCTTTAGATAGGAATTCGGAAGGTAAAATACATTTTAACATAAGTAAAGAATCAGCTTACCTGGCAGGGTCACATCCTCCACCTACCCAATTACCATTTACTCCGACGATGGCCTCTGAATCTCGAGCAAGTCCTGTAATCGTCACAGTTGGAATTCCATCCCTACGTACGAGGATGGAACTCCTCTTTTGGCAATACCTTCAAGGGAATTGAGAAGTTCAAGTAGCATTATAAGACGGCTGGATTGAGGCGACGAGCACATCTTCGGTGTGAATGTAGCCAAAGGCTTCGTAACAATATGATAAAACCTTGCGAATAAGCAAGAATCAATCAGTGAATTCATTGTTCCCCAAAATGGGGGCTGCTTGGATCATACTATAAAACTTGATTCATCCAAACTAATGACAGCGAAAAAAATAGCTGGAGGGTGAATGAACGACAAGATATCCAAAATGACGTTCTGATCTAGTTTACAACTTGCTGGAGACGAAATCTCTGCCATTCATGTAATACAGCCGATTGCAATGCATGATGCTCCATATCTTCAGGTGAAGGTAAAAAAATTGTAGTGGGTTTTTTCTTCGGTTTTGTCTCTAGACCTGGCAGCAAGCTATCATCATCCGAGTCTGAATCTAATTCAGGTTCAGACTGAACTGGTTTAGCTCTAATGACGGCAAGAATATCCATTAATCTCTTAAGTTTTTCAGCAGCAGCAGCCTGTCAAAAGGTATCCGCAAGTATTTTCAGTCGGCAGAAACATATAGAAAAGCTGCTAGGTATCTCGATAAGTTAGAGAGAGACCATACTCATAGTGCGAGGATAGAGTTCCCACATACAAGGGACAAACAATCGGGGCAAGCATACAAAAGGATCAAGGTTGCAACGTTACTAACCTCCACTTCCTCATCAGAGACCCCACGAACAGCATTATCAGTCAAATCATCAAGCCAAGTTTGAATGTCGGCACTAATCTCATCCACGACTGTGCCCGATGATGCTCTCACCACAAACTTGCACACCATGGTCTTAGTCTCCTCACCAAGATCCACATTTTCACTAACTTCACTTGTTCCAAAGATCATCATACCCACCAGGTCACCATACCAAGACTTGGCAGCATAGCAAATCTGCACAAAGAACCATCTACTCAGTAAAAGGTCTATAATCTAACGACAAGGCAGATGATCAATACGTCGGATCAATACAACCTTAAAATATTCATAAAAGGATCACGTATTTTCTTGAGGCAAGAAGAATAGGGACAGTTGCGACGCCAAACCGTAAATTACGTAGCCCGACCTTAAAAGTAGTCAGACGAATTTAAATATTTTTTTGTTGGGAACATTCAAAAGATATATTCAAAATAATATCCACTGTTGAGTAAACATATGCACGACACATTTAGATGGGCGATTGTTAAGTAATCATACATAAGTCACGAAACATAAAAGCTCAGACGAGAGTACCTGGAATCCTGACACAGTTCGCAAGATATGAGAGCACACTTTATGAAAAGGCTTGGATGACAGTGATTTCAATCCTGAAAGAATGGGTAGAACAGCTGGTTCCAGGTAACCTCCAGAAGCAGTTGCTGCTTTAAACCCTCCACTTTCATACGTATAAGCACCAGTGTGCTCACAAATTGCAGGCAGGCTTGGCCATAGTCTAAAAAACTCCACAGGCGAGAGAGCATATGGGACTAGAAGTTCAATGAGAGGTAGCCGATATGATCCACACCGTAATACAACCGGTTCCCCATACTCAGATGCTTTGGATTTCAGGAGCCTTGCTCCATGAGGTCCTTCCTGCGTAAGAGCTTCACCTTCTTCTCTATTGACCAACCCAACTCCACCAAAGGATGGATAATACAAGAGTTGAACACACAGCGAACAATGCTCAAATCGTGACACTCCAACAGTAACACTGGATAAAATTGGATCCTGCATAGATATGCAATAAGATTTAAAACCCAAAGCTAACAAGCACTCTAATGACAATAGTCACGGTAACCTCTTGGTTTCATAATTAGCATTGTAAATTCAGAAGAAATTACCTATTTACATTAATATCATTATTTATCACTCAGTATGGCACCAGATCATTCAATCCTTTAATCTCCACTGGTTAAAAAGCTTTTTAACAGAAAAGTACCGCGAGACAAAAAGCTCACCTGCGAATGGACCTGCTGAAGTCGGCGAACACCCTGAGGAGAGCCATCCATAAATCGAAGAGCACCAACGAGCCCAACATGAACATCCACCCGCTTGAGTTCTTGTTCAGTCAAGTTCAGAAGCTGGTTGCATACCCGGACAAACACAGGTTATCGTCTGCTTAACAAGTCTAAGGCTTCTGAGAAATAAGTTGTTTAGGAAGCTTTCTACCTCACACTGATCTGTGCAAGATATGTCTAATATCATAGATCAAACATACCACAAGTGAAACGTCTGACTAGTGGAATACGGAAATGCCACCATTTTTAAAACAGAAATGGCGTTTCCATACCTTAAGATGTAGAGTTATCCTCTTCTCATGTGGATCAGTCAAATGGTACGCCTCAACATAACAAGGATCGCTGCTGCCTGACAAAGTTTTGGGTGTTGGCGGGGCCTTCGAATAAGTCATTCCAGACGTGGCCAAGGTAAGTTCACTCTGCGCAGGTTTCCAAAGCTCCTGAACAGCAGTGTGAACTAGATCTTCAAGCTTACGATCCTGAGCTGCTGATGCATCGAAGTACTGGACTGAAAGCTTGTGGTGCGTAAAAGGATAGTCGCCTGTAGCTCCTGAATTTCCTACCCACCTTCACAGAACAGAAAAATTTCACTCTCTTAGACGAATACAAACTGTGCCGTGCATAGAGGTAAACGTGTAACAAGGTCTGAACAATCTAATGCTATTAAAAATAAGTCTCTCAACATATGAGACTTCCATTATGCCAGAGCAAACCCAATCATCCACTAAGAACACATAAAATAACATACACTAAACACGTCTACATCAGGTGTCAAGGGGATTAAGTATTACTTCGATTCAGGATGCTTGGAGATATATTTGAACTTCTGTAGAATGAGGCGGCATTGATGCTTATTCACCGAGTCGGCCAAAGAACTATTTCTGAAGTCCTCGAGAACTCTTGTCAACATCTGGCCTGCTCTCAGGTTTCTTGAACCAAGATGCTCTGAACTTACAAGTAAAGCCTGTGCATCCTGTAACCTGCAGTATCAAGGTAGTAAGGAAAAGATGCGTGTAAAACCTCAATAATAAATTCAATAAAATAACCTATATAATAATCAAAAACTGCCTTGATAGAAATTTTCTAAAAAACCACTAAGACCATCAAAAGTTTGGCGCAGATTTTCATGGCATATATTTATTTTTTAAAAAAATTTGTGGAACATATCTGACCCTGAGATATCGAAGGAAACAATAACGGCATCATTAATAAATGCCGCAGATCAACCCCAACAAACCCATCACCCAAACCACCATCTTCTAAATCTTTAATAAGCTACTTATAAACATGGAATCAAAGGAACGTGATGCACCTGTTAGTGGAAGTTGCAGTGGAATCTAAATTAAATATGACCTTGTGGATGTGATCAATAATAATGTTGAGAGGATCTTCTGGATCATCTGCAAGCAGTGGGTCTAGACCTTCAAGATCAAAGTGCTCCGCCAGAGCCCAAATTACGCGAGCTCTTAGTCTTGCAGTAGTGACCTGAACTCAGGTAAAGCAATTAGACGAATACAGTATCCCTTGTTGCAGACAATTTGAAGTTACTATGTTGGACAAATTCAATGAAACAAAGTAGGAATGTCTTGGCACTTGTGGTTGAATCTTGAGAGCTTAAGAATCACATCCATATTGAAGAGCTCAGTCAATAAATTATTACCTCATTAAGATCTTTCACGAGTTGCGCTTGCAAGGCTTGCAACCGAGTCTCCGCCAAAATTTGTTCAGGAGATGCCCCTTCTTTGGCCTTCTTCACCCCGCCCACGGTATCATAGATATGGCACAAGCGCACTAGCAACTTCAAGTAGCAGTCCATAGCATATGTCCGGCCTGCATCAGGAAGGCACCCACATCATTTGTGTGCGTATCCAAAATCATTGGTCACGCATGGCTGCATGGAACTAACAATATGTGAGCAACACAGAGTTCGACTAAGAGGGAGTTGAGACCTACCGCAGAGGGCTGATCTACCATAATAAACGATCATTATTAAGGACTAGATTTTTGCAACGCTAAACTTGTCAATTTATAAGTAACAAACCTCAACATAACAGGATAATCCAGAACATGTAAAGATTCATTTCCTGGCATCCTAGACATTGAAGAAACGTAGGAAAGAAAAGCAATCACCTTGACAGTCCCACTTCACACAGGGGCGGCAAACCTCAACTACTTCAAGAGCCGATTGGGTCCAGCTCATAGCACCTGAAACTGTACCATAATTCAGAACTCCAATGACACGACTCTCAGGACACATAGTTTTCATCCGAGGGAGAGGGACAGAGAGCTGAAAACAACTCTCAACAAGACATGCAACTAACTCTTCCCGAAAAAGACTCTCGCTGTGGATGCTTGCCAGATCTTCTCTGATTTTTGTGTCCTCAAATAATGCAGCTATGTTTGTGTTCGCTAGAGGCTTTTGACCCCTTCTAACACTTTCTTTTGCAAACAGGTCCACACTAAGAGCAGTCCGGCAAATGCAGGCAAGGGCGTGCATACGATCTGCCTCCACTCTAAGATTCCTGACCATTAAAAGAAGCCGCTTGAACAGAGAAACCTGCAGAATAAGACATAAATATGAACATCTAGATATGCCCAAATTTCAGCGCACATGAAAACATAAGTACCTGGGCAATTGAACATTTGAGCGTGCCAGCATAATTGTTAACATACCTGCAAGTGTAGATCTAGAAGCTGGAGGTTCTTTACAACCGATCGAACAATGCTTTCCCGTCCGGCATTAAATTCTTGTCGATCCCACAGGGTCAGAAGCGCAGTGATTGGTGCTGACGCCCACTCTGGTTTTCCTCCAGGCACGTCAGCCAAAGAGAGGAGGTTGATACTGACCTCATAAACTAAAGCTGGGTCGAGGACAAATAAGTACGGCGTGAGGTGAGAAACTACATCGGAAATTCCCAGAATATGCTCAGCATTCCGAAAGTCTCTCTCTTCAAGTGCAGCCCGAGGGGTTCCAAGTAAACCTGAAAGTACCTGCAAACAAGCAAAATGTCAGTACAATCCTCAACTATGAATGAAATAAACAATGAGCACCAACAATATACAAGGTGTTTCACATAACAAAGCGAAGCAGACGAATGATCACAAATTTGTAACCCCTCTACACAAAAACATAAGAAAGGGATGTAACACGAAACATGGTCTACAACATGGCCATGAAAAGCTAGTAAAAGCAAGGGGATATTGAGGATAGCAATGGTTCTCTGAACCTACTTTAGTATTACAACAATACCGTACAGTTTTTTTGGCTTTAACACGGAGCAGCAGCAGAGGTAGATCAGAGAAAACAATTTTTAATGGCAATGGCCGTCACATAGCCAACACTGTTAACAACATGCACAGTATTTGACGACTGAAGAGAACGACCCACATTGTTTACTAAAGTAGAAGTAGATACGTTAAGATAGAAACACCCTGGTGCTTCAGAAGGTGATAAGAGCGTCCAAGCACATTTGTTAACATTCGTCTGGCGACAAGACGTCACACGTGGCTATCCTAAGAGAGACATTTCTTGCACAAAAGTCCGTTCCTCGATAAGTATATGTGGAGCAAACGCAAGAGTTCAAACCTGCATATCTTCCATCATTCTAGTGGCCACAGCTTTCGCTGAGAACACAAGGGGGAAGACTGACGAGCGAAAGCTTTCAATTGTCAACACCTTTGAGCGAGCCATCAAGATATCCCGTTTCTCCCATACGAACCTGCACATGGCCACTACCCAACCAGCTCGAATGGCAAGGGAATCTTCGCTGGGAACCAGCTTATCACCAGCCAATCTACTCAGCTTTTTCGTGCTGAACTCCAAAAACAAGCGCCCTACTCCTTCGTAAGCGATCCTAGAAACAGCATCCGAGGGATGCAGCATACACTCTCCGATCTGTCGCCACCACACTGCCACTCTGTCCAACAATGCAGCGCTCGTAACGCACAGATTGACGACGTCATCGCGAGCAAGCAGGCACCCAAGCGTCTCCACAATCGCGTACCGCAAGTTTGGATTATCGTGCACAATGCAGTTCGAGATCTCCCTGCTGCAGTCCGTAATAAATTTTCCGAGACGCCACGAGGGAATGGCAGACATAAAAGACACGGCCGCGGCCGTCACGTCTGAGTCCGGAAAATCAAAATCATTCAGGATTCCGCGACACACTACTTCCCACTGCTCCGCCGTCAAGCGAGTGCACCGAATCAGATCAAACGCCAGTTTCTTACACACTGCACTCGCGGGACTCGCGATAATCTCATCGCACGCTATGGTCGCTGTACAGGACACGTCCTTGCCCGCTGCAGCATGCTGCAGCACCAGCAACAAAGCTTGCGATTGCCGCAACCCGTCATTCGACGCAAGCTCCGTCTTTATGGACGCAAATACATGATCCATAGCTACGCTGCTTCGCGTTTCCAAAATGACATTCAAATGCAGATCCTCTCCTTCAGCGCGTCAAGCTCTTGCAAGTCTCCAAGTCCGCCCTCAATGCACCGACTCACGGCATAACGATTCTATTCCATGGATTCCTCTGTACACATTTCTCAAAAAAAATTTACAACTACAGAAACTCGCTAATTCTCTTCAATGCGATTTTTGACACTATCCTCGCTCCAACGTAACAACGTGCAAATATGAAACCCTAGCTCCTCATGGAAGCAGCTCGCCATAGCCAGCTTTCGATCTTTGCCAGGAGCTGCAAATGCTGCCTTCAGTGTCTCAGGAAGTGAGAGACAGATTGAATGGGAGGATGATATTCATTCGTCATGTTGCCAGTTCCATATTAATCATTCATCCGTCATGTCAATAATAGAACTATAGAATCACACGTCAGCACCCGTTCCATCGTGGCGGTGTCCATGGAGGAATGACGTGGGCATTACCGTGGCGGGAACACGTGAAAGCTTTCTGACGTGGAGCTTTAAGCTTTTTCATGCGTGTTTTAATCATTGTTAACTCCTACTTATGTCTAATTCACCAAATCTGTTTTAATTTTTAATTTTTTTTATATTTTCATACTTTTTATGTGACCCCTTTGAGGACGTACTAAATGACATCTGTTGAATCAGTGTGTTACATTTTTGGTTACCTCCTTTTTAATTTAGAATGGAAACAAAATTTGTATTAAATACAATGCTTATGATCACTTTATGTACATAGTGCCATTTTTACCATGCGTTCAATTTTTTATATTCTAAGTTTAAAATCATATGGGATCATTCAAATTGGACTCAGATATAAACAATGAAAACTGGACCTAAAATTAATTTTAAATATTTATACAATCAGTACACTGCCACTACTTGGGGTAAATAAATCAATCAATTTATTAGAATTTTTCATTTTGTAATTAGAAAATTACCATCTGATATAACCTTACTTTACAAAAACATTAATAAACATGTGATTTTATTATTATTATTATTATTATTATTTGAGATTTAATATTCTAGGTTTTTATTTTGTGCATAAATTCAAAAAAAAAAAAGTAATTCATAAAATATGTGTATTTCATTTTTCACACTCAAATTAAAAAGCTATGAATTAAAAAGGCCTTAACATTTTTTTGTATATTGAAATATACAAAATTTGATACTTCTAATATAAAAATAATACATCTAAAGAGGGAATATTCAACTTCTAAGTCACTTAGATTTTTTTGGATTTTAGTATTTTTATTCTTTTTATTCTTTTACTTTTTTATAGTGTTTTAACATTAACAAATAAAATGTACTACAACTATGCCAATTCTTTTGTAATATTGTGTGAGCTAAAATAAACCTCTACTAGTTAAAAGTTTATACTAATTCACAACAAATAAATCAATTATGTGAAACTTAAAAATTTCCACCTTTATTTAAACCTTAATTGAATCACCTTTAATCTTCTTTAATACCCAAGTAGTCAAGTAAACAACTCCACCATCAATTCAATCTTACAATAAAACAACATTTCAAAATTCATGCAAACGAGAATTACTTCACCTATCTAAATTTTATTTTTTTATTATTCAATTAATTTTTTATAAAAAAATGATTTTTTAATTTTATTTATTATTTAATTAAAATTAATCTATCCAAAAAAAACTAAGTAGGATAATTCATCTAAAAATAAGTTATTATCCATGCTTCAATTCATTCAAGCACAATCATTTATTATTATTCATATATGGAATAATTCATCTTTGAATGAATTATTTATCAATTTTTTTTTAATATAAATTTCCTCATTCTTTTCTTTTCAGATAAGCCCTAATTTCCTACTTCTATATTAATTGACTAGGAGCTTGAATTCACCTTATGTTCTTTAATTGGAACAGATGATGAACAGGGCTTCTTGCTCTAGGGACTCCTTTGCCAACAAAACCTTTAAAAGTGCAACCCTTCCATCTCATCTAAGTTGTAATGGTAGGTTCTCCTACTTAGTGGTGAAGTCCAACATTGCCTCTTAGAGCATGTCAACTTTACTTTGGAAAAGAGGAGATGTCAAGATTGTGTAGTCTCATGAGTGCAATCCATTAATCAAGGCATTTCTTCTAGTAATACAACTTGATTTGCTTGAATCTGAATTAACAACCTTGAATTAGAATACAATGATTCAATGCTAATACCTTGAGTAGCAAAAAAGAAGATGAGATGTTGCACGTTTATTCCATTGTTATTCTTGGTTTTTAGAATTTTATCCAATAAAATCTAAAACTACCTTCTATTTTTGGTATTCAACGTAATGTTGGTGATTTTTATTATCCACCAAGATCCATTCACAACGTCTCTATATCAAGATCTTGCAATGCCTCAAGTATTCATAAGCACCATCAATCAAGAACAACCTCACACAATGACCTTTGCTTATTAGCAACCGTCAACCTTTCTTCATAAAATTTGACAATAAATTGGTGATTAGCAAATTATCTAATTCTTGCTCCACCGTAGCAAAAATATAGCAACCTTGGTTATAGCACCACTAGCACCGCTCCATAATGCAATCAACATTACCATTATTACACATCTTTTTTGAGCCGATTAACACCAAGTTTGGATCATGAGGAAGCTGAATTGCTTAGTCCAATTACAACTCTCTATATTAGAATAGAAGTCTTATATCTAGATCCTAGGGGCAAGAAGAGTCAAGTACTACCTAGCTGTTGATTAAGATCAACACTGCCACTTGTACTGCAAGAAGATGATATTGGTTTTTTTTCAAGGTAGCATTAGAAAAAAACTAGATTCTAGTCTCACCTTTAAAGTTCTATGTAATACAAGAAGCATTTCTGCAACAAATGCAAAGTTCCTCACTATTATTGAGGAAGGCTAAACACTAACAATCCACTATCACTACTCCAACTATAATGACATTGCCACCACACCTCATGAAAGGTATGTAGCATAATTTGAAGACAAGAAAAAAAAATAAAAAAATAATGTTGAAGTGCTTTGTATTACAAAAACAACATCTAGCATGTCAATATGAGGATGGAATTGCTCTTATTACTGAACAACCAAATAGTTGTAAGAATGTAACCTTTCAAAAAATACTCATAGATAAGAAAAAAATAAAAATACTTAAGCATATATATATATATATATATATATATATATATTTGGAAGCTTCATGCTAAACACATGAGCAAAATAAAATAACAAAAAATTATCTCAATTTGAATATCTTAGGATACAAAAAGAACTTAATTACAAAAATCAGTTTGATTGATTGCCACCAAAACTACGAGCTAAAAAGAACTAGGATGGTACTCCACAGCTCTTAATTCACACCAAAGCTCTACAGCAAAAATTACACCTTGGAAGATTAAGTAAAAACCTCCAAAAAATGTTTCTTTTCAAACCAACTATAGTACCATAATATAAAAAAGAAAGAAATTGTGATAGGGAGGAATCTAAGTGGCCAAACCTCTATCGACAAAGAAGCTACAACAATTTATGGGTAGATTTTTGTCTTTTTAATCATCTTTTATATTTTTATTTATTTTATATTTTACATATATTTTTCTTTTTTCTTTCATTTTTGTTTCTTTTCCTTTTCTTCTCTCCTTCTTTTCTTTTTCTATACTTATTTTCTTCTTCCATCTTAATTTCTTTCTCCTCTCCTCTTTCTTTTTCTTTCTCTCTATTTTCTATTTTTCTTTTTTCTTTCTATTTTTTTACTTCTTTTAATTTTAATTTTATTTATATGGTATATATATATATATATATATATATATATATATATATATATATATATATATATAGTTTAAGAAATATTCATAATTTTTTTTTCTTTTTGATATCAAGACTACTTTCTTTGGTCCTTCATTTAATATTATTTAATTAAAAATATATATTCTTTATAGAATTTTTCTTATTAAATTCTATTTTAGATTGCTTATCGACTATTAGTAATCTATTTTTTGTTTTTTTGATTACTATCTCACAAAATTTGTGGTTTTAAGCATAATAAGTACATTTTTTATACTAAATATTGAAGTAAGTCAATTTAATGACTCATATATTACAACACTAATTTATATGTATTTTAATTATAAATTTATAAAAAAAATTAAAATAAATAAACACAATTTTTTTTAGCTTTCATACTTCTACATTTGATAATAATATTATTGTTAATTTTCACTTCTTAAAAAATTACTTTTAATAAAAAAAATTCAATACATTTAAATAATTTATATTCTAAAAATAATATAATAATATTAATTTCCAATCACTCATGTTTTTTTCTAATATTCTAAAGATTTCATTTGTAACTTATGTAGTTGGATTTGTCTTTACAAATTTATTTTTAGTTTGTGTTTTGGTATTCTTAAGTAGATTTCTTTGAAGTTAGCATAAAGTAAGAAGACAATATGATATGAATTAAAATATTCTATCATTTTAAGTCTAAATATGAAAATTTAAATCTTAATATTAAAAATTATGATACCTTAAGATATTTAAGTTCTTTTTTTATTCTTATCATTTTATTTTGTATCATTCAAATAGATAGCTTTAGCAAATCTTATTATTAGTTTCCAAGTTTTTTATAAAAACCACTTCTTGAAAGTGGGTTTGTCACAAATTCATACCATTTATACCATGTCAAAATAAAAAGACAATTTTTTTTTCATCTTCTTTTTTCATGGCCTTTGGACTAATTTTTTAAAGAATAAAATCAGCTAAGAGAGATTACTAAATATTAACCTATTAAAAGTTGATGCTCCTTATTTTTTCTTTTAAATCTTCAAACCTATATATAAACCAATTTGGCATGCTTGTAAACTCTTACAACTATAAATTCTCTAAAATAATATTTTTAATATATTCAAGAATTTTACATAAATAATAAAATTTATAAATTTTATTATTAAATATTTCTTTCTTATTAAATTTTAAACCTTTTATATAAAATTATCTTTAAATATGATATAAAAATAATATATACTCAAATAAATAATAATTATATATTTATAATAATGATTTTTGTAAATAAAAGATTGTATATAGAATATTTTTTTAAATAAAGATATTTCTTTTCAGATAAATGAGATAAAATAATTGTGTATATATTTTTAATTTATTTTAAAAACTATCATTATTAAAAAAATTTAATTTAATTATAATATAATATAAAATTATAAATCTTATAAATTAAATTTTTTATATATATTTCAAATTAATTTTAAATTTATTCAATATATATACATATATATATATATATATATATA